TTTGGTGTAGCGGGCTCAGAGGTTGGATGACGGATTGCTTCTAAACCCCCTATACCCGTAGCCGAAGCCACAAAAAGGACCTCACAACATCAAAGAACTAACTTCAAGAACTACCCAGAAACACATCCCTGGTGCGACCCCTGGGTAGCTACTAATTAATGAGCTGCAGCACACCCGGGACCATCCGAAATACACTCCCCTAAACCACATAATGGAAGAAACAGTCTAAGCTCTCATAAAGACCTTCCAGACAACCCCCTACAACGCTTTAGACATCCCGTGGAAGCATCTAAAACTCTCGAATCCTAAACCCTAACCCCCTGAGCCATGTAAAACCCTCTAACCCTAAACCCTACACCCTAAAGCCCCACACCCACATAAAACCCTTTAACCCCAAACCTATGCAGCTGGCCTTGGCCTCTGCCTCCTTGGCCCAGGCCTCCTCCCGGGCTCTTGCCTGGCCCGTTTAGGATTGAGGGTTCAGGGTTGACGGTCAAGTTGCTAAAGGCTTCTAAACGGATAGGGTTTAAGGTTCTTAGCAGGTGGGGTTTAGGGCTTAGGGCTTACATGGGCATAGTTACACGCCAAGAATACGTAGAACAATGGCCCAGCACATTATTCTACATACCTTTGCGGTTCTGGTAATTATGGCTGAAACACCATCTCAATTAGTTTGCGAGCTTCAACTTACATTCGGGGTTTTGCGGTTGGGTTAGAAAACATGTTGTGCAGATTGTAAGGCCTCGGGGTTTAGGGCAATTAGGGTTGGGGGGTATCAGGCTTAGCGTCGTGTTTAAACTTATTATTGTTATACAGTACGTCTGTGCATACATACACATACATATAGTCACATACATCTTCACATACACATATACATACACGCGAACATACACGCATATCTACATCTACATATACATATGCATCTGCATGTACTTGTGCATATACATATACATGTACATGAAATATAAATTTGTATACATGTACATGTGCACTTGAATATTATATATACATACACACAAAACACATACACATACACACATAAACGCATATGCACATATGTACAAAGGGACAGAGGCACATGTATCTCATTCCGCAGCGATTTTAATTTTAGCTCCTGCCATCAAGTCCTAATAACTCGTGGCTCTTTCGCCTACCAACCAGCCCCCATCTAATCTCCACCTGCAGGGCTTAAGGTTTAGTTGTGAGGGTTCAGCAAGCATCTCGCGGGAAAATGGGCTCATCATCTAGAAGCTTGCCCGCGGCGCAAGACACAATCCAGGGGTACGCTGAGCAGTGGGAACAGTTTCAACAGGGTTAGGATTGAAAGCTAGTTGGTTATTGGGTATAGGAGTCTCCGAGTGCTAGTTAATCGCGACGGTTGCAAACCCGAAACAAAACCGGCAGGTTGCGAAGGCAGGCTGAAATTGAATCCTTTTTAGTTCAGGCTTTCGATTGTCCCCCAGGCCACCAACGCTGAAACACGTTGCATCATCAGCCATTTGACCGGATTGACACTACAATCTGGTCCCTGATTCTTGCACCATAAATCCTAAACACGAAAAGCGCTGACGTACATGGCGCAGTAAACCGTGCAACCTTGAAGTGGGAGGGTTCTAGGCTGGGCAAGCAAAGCTTGGCCAAGCTTTCGCCTTCCAACCTAAGGCCTATCTGGCTTCTCCTTTTTCAACATTCCTCATAGATCCTATATAATATCTCACATCTCATATAAATAAGTAAATAAATCTAAATATAAATGTAGATTATATATATATATATATATATATATATATATATATATATTATGGATGTATCGATATCATATATGGGAGGGCGCTTGGTCTAGGGTTGCACGCAGAGGGACTGTTCAGAAGTGAGGTTTTTATGGCATTCATCCCCCTTGAGCCCTGATCTCCGAAGCAAGTTAAAGGCCGCAACGAAGAACAATCATGGGCCTAAGGCTGCGAACTTCAACTTGCTCCTACGTAAGTTTTTACGTGTGCATAAGGTATGTTGCTCAGCTAGGGCATGTGTGGATGCACCATGCAAGACATGCTTCCTTCCATTCTGGGCTCCGGAGTAACTCTGACTTCTCACGTCTCTAGCTTGTACTCTGCAGCAGCCGCAAAGCAAGTCACAGTCTGAAGAACCCTGAACCCCAAAACGCCTGTTTTTAGAGAGCTAGGGAGTCACTGCCTAACGCACATGCCCGTGTCCATGCCCATGCCCATAGCGGCAGGGTGTTTCCCTGCTCTTCTTGTGGTTTCGGCTTTGATCAGCTCAAGACCGGTCATGCTAGGATGCTATGACGTTCGAAAGTGTTCAAACCCTCATCGGTAATTCCGTGAACATCTGTCTATACGAGCTCGTCTCAATAGGTGCAGCTGCCGGGATCATGTTGAAGGAAGTCGCCACTGACTTGCCGCAACCGTAGCAAATGTTGGCGGGTAGCGGACTCTGGATACACCCTCTTCTGCATCCCCTCGACTCATTCACTGTGGTGTGGGCCCGTGCATCTCGGGCGTGCAGGCTATGTGTGCAGGGGCGTGCGGTCGGCATGGACGAGCGTAACATGAGGCTTGGAGAATGTGTCCGAGGAGGACGAGTAGGACACTGTGAAGGGAGGGGGCATCATGCTAATGCATCGGAATACCGGATATCCCAAAGGCTCCCCTGCGGTCAGCATGAAAACCTCCAAACCACGATCATGATGGCCTCCAAAGCATTCCCAGGAAATAAAACAATAGCGAAACAACCCTACGGTACGCTTCAATCTAGGCAAGCAAGCCTGTGCTTCGAAAGCCTGACACACAGATCCGAAACTCAAAGCAGTACCATAATGTAAGGTATAAGGCTCAGGCTCAGACTTTAACTACACTTTAGACTTTGAAACTCAGCGTTAGACCCGGAAACTACCAGGAGGCCGAGTTTTCGGTGTAGTAGATTGCTGGGTTGCAGGTACCACCGGGTTTAATTAACATAGGAACAGCAATCCACTGTATAGTTGATTGGGCTTGTGGGTTACTATGTTACACCCCTTATACTAAAGGCTAGAAGGACCCCTTTCATGATAACTTCGGGGTTTTGCAAAAGCATAACACCCCAGCCGAGCAATCCCACAAAGGTTCGCCTGACTGCCCTGGAAGATACCGATATCGGAGGTCTCTTCAAACTTACGGTTCCTTGTTTGTGACATTTTCAGAAGGAGCCGGGATGTGCGTCTGCAATAGTGCAACAGAATTACAATCAGGAACACAGGAACAGTATCAGTATTTATTCGGCCTCTCCATAATTATGACCCCACTCTTTCAGCAACACCTATATTATATGATGGGCGACTATACTGCAAGATGCATACTGGGTCAATGTATAGCTCAACAACTGCCTCTGCTGCCCTGACAGCTCAGGGCTTCAGGTTTATAGTTTAGGGTTTCGAGTTTAGGGCTTATAGAGTTTAAAGACAAACTCTTTACAGCGAACTTATTTGCATCGATATAAGGCGTTCACGGCCAGGTTTGGGGGGGATTGAGGTCTAGAATATTAATTGGGTATGGGCGATTCTTTTAAGGCTTCGGGCTGTAGGGTTACTGCGTGTAAGGTCTGTTGGGAGATCGTGCTGAGTTCACATATGTCTGCAAGCTTTTGTCATGCAGAAGAACTTTAGAGTGTATGAGCTCATTTTACGCTGTTGAAAGTTTTCCCGAAATGCCTGCTTCAAAATGTGCTGAAACCAACGCAAAACACGAAACATGCACCATTCCAACCGACACCTCTCGAGGATTGCGCTCATGCTGATACCAAACCAAAACCTGCAAAAAAAAACAGTTTGGCAAACTTGCGAGCCTGAACACCGACATGCAAACATGCGACATCGAAGGACAGGAGTCACTCAGGAACGTGTCCCCTTGTTTACAGGGATCCTCCGAACTTCAAAAGACCACGGCGCAGATGTAGGCATATAGAGAACACAAGGGATCGTTGCAGTCATGACACGACAAGAATATCTATATCCATGACAATGACTACATCTCTATCCATGTCTATATCTATACAGCTACATCTACATCTACGCCTATCTTTGGCTGTTGTATAAACATATGTATATATGTATGTATGTATGTATGCATGCATGTATGTATGTATGTATATATGTATGTATGTATGTATGTATGTATGCATGTATGTATGTATCTATGTATGTATGCATGTATGTATGTATGTATGCATGTATGTATGTATGTATGTGTGTGTGTGTATGTATGCATGCATGCATGCATGCATGCGTGCATGGATGGATGGATGGATGGATGGATGGATGGATGTATGTATGTTGTTTGTTTGTACGTATGCATGTATGTAATGTAATGTAACGTAAGAGAATGAATGGCATGGCGTGGAATGGAATGTATGTATGTAAGAACGTTCGTCAACTTGTTGTTTACGATTTTCTCTGTATCTATACTAATGTCCGCATATGTAGACATATGGACCTCCATATAATACAGCTAGAAACCTGAAGACCTGACCTCGATAGATCTTTATCTGACTGTCAACACTCTATCTAGATCTATGCATAATAAACACATATGTACATAAACATAATTACAATATGCATGCATGTTTATACATGTACAATTGCAAAGTATTGGAAGCAAGCTGGGCACAAAAAAAAAATCCACATAAAGATCTCACGGGCGAGGAGGGACCTGGCTCTCCGGTCCAGTTTTCGCAAGACGAAAGATTAGTGAGATCCTTATGTGGTCTGCAAAAAGAAACAACGACAACTTTTTGTGAGATTTTTATGTGGTGCTGGATAAAGTCATATTTTGGGGTCGGCGCCGTGACCGCGTAAAGATCTTCCGACATTGTTTGGGTTGCGCCCGAGAAGTTTCCAGCTCATCACGTCATACCCAACAGAGTGGCAGCTACGTGTTTCCTGGGTGCGATCTTTATGTTTCTGTGCCGAATTAAGGTCTGAATTATGCATTTTCGCGATACTTGAATTCACATTTCGAAGCTGACACAAGTGGGTTCGAGCAGCGTAAGGCAGCCCGCACCAGAACCTTTTGATTCCGCTAAACTCTGACCCCCCAAAGAACTGCCTACACCAAACCTTGCCGAAAGAAAAAGCACAACCTAATTCCCGACACCCCGTCACGCTAAACTCAGCCCAAGAACCGAAATTAAGGCGAATGCAGCGAAACCCATTAAAGAACCCACATAGGAACCCTTAAAGGAAGCAAAGAGGAACCCTAATCAATCAAAAGGATCCTAACCCTGAACGTTAAACCCTTAACCCTTAACCCTACCTGTAGTCTCCATTGTAGTTCCTTTTTCTGGTTAACCAGAAACTTTATTATGGGATCCTAACCATAAAATTGGTTCACCAAAAAAAGGAACTACAATGGAGACTGCAGGTAAACCTCAAACCCTACAGCCCCTCGGTGGGCCTCGCCGGCCGCTTGCGCCGCAGCGCTTGCGGCGGCTTCCGCAGCTCGCTGCGCATCTGCCGAGGATTGTGCCTGGGCCTGCAAGAATGGGCTGTTACAGTCTATGCTCATTAATACTTATGCATGTATGTCTGTATGTATGTATGTACGTATGTATGTATGTACTACTGTATGTATGGACATAAACACGTATATACACATAAAACACAATATATAAAGGTATACCTATCTATATATGTATACATGTGTGTGTATGCTCATATAACAGTCTCCAACGCAGGTAGAATATACATATTCGATACTATACTCAACTACACTATACTTTGTATGCTGTACTATGGATCTAAGATACTCTCCTACGGTATAATATGAAACCAAAAAATACAGCACAATATCACACAATAAGATATATGAGATGATATGATATGAGGTGACATGGTACAGTATCGTGTAAAGCCGAATAATACAATACTTTATATTATGAACGAGACAATAAACTACAGTGTAACAGACTCGAATGGAATGTACTTTAACAGAATATAGCATATAATAAGTACTGCAGCATAACATATCTCATTGTTCTCACATATATACAAATATACACATATGATCAGGTACTTGGACTCTTCAGACTGCCAAAAGATCGCACGAAGCCCTGTAAACATACAAACCTTGACCTTTTGAAGTGGCATCTTCGGGGCTGAAGACCCAAGCCCAGAAAAGGCTAACACTTTTCAATTCCCTAAGGGTCCATGTACCCAAATAGTATATACTTTGGGCCCAATGTACCTACATAGGGACTACTTTAAGGCCAATGTATATACTATATGAGTACATGGACCCTTAGGGATTATGGTAGGATTATGTGAACGACAAAAAGGTGACCCACTCAGCTGCTCAGCAAAGCCTTAAAGCCTAAGAACAAAGTTTTAAACCCAAAGACCAAGCCCTATTATAGCCAACCCCCAGCACCCCTAATGCCAAACCCCAAGAACCAAAATCTCCAAGCCCTATCACCCCGCCCTTAAGGGGGGTGGGGGTCAAAATGGAAAATCCATTTAGGACCCCCCCAAAACCCAAGAACACCCTGGATTACTGCAAACCCGTAGATGGACACACAAATGCTATCCATTTAGGTACCCCCTCGCCTCATTATCCAATAGTACGGGTGGTTCCTGCCAGCCCTCACATCAACCTGCACCCTAAACCCTAAAACCCGAAACCCTAAACCCAAATCTTCAACCCCTCAACCTGAAACCCTAAGCCCTATAGTGCCTCAGCAACTTTCCGCGCATGCAGCGCCTTCTCCATCCTCGCCTTTACGGTTATTGGAATCGTCAAGCTCCAACAGAGTCACCCTAAAACCCTAAACCCCTAAACCCTAAACCCTTAACAGAGTCCAAAGGCACTCGAACTTGGGTAGCTGAGTTTAGGATCGTGGCTTTGTAGGTCAATTATTGTCTTGGGTCCTTTGTGTTGTCATGCCGTATGCTAATCCGGATACTTCACACTGCAGGATCTAAAAGCCCGCGAATGGTGCTTACCTCAGAGTACCCGGAGTCGCAAAGTCGTAGAGAAGCTGCATTTGGAGGAGTTTTGGGAGTTAAAGGCTTGGCGGATTATGACAAAGCTTGGGTTCGAGGTTTAGAACAAAAAGGAGTTAGGGCTTTGGGGTTGTGGCTCTGAGATACGAGGCGTTAGACCTGTATTGAGGGCTTTCAGTGGTGGTAAGGTGGTGCAGCAAGTACACGGGTTTCAGGGACACACCAATCATCAACTTGGAATGCTGTCTGCCATTACTGCAACCTGGGTCCAGATGATGCAAGATCTAGATGGGTGTTGGAGATCTATCAGGTTGTAGGTTGTGGGATCCAGCTTGCTCTAGGTAGATGATGAAACATCTCCCCCCCAAGAGCCTATGCTGATCGTAAAGTGGCTCAGTTCAGGTCCTCAAACCCTAAACCCCAAAGGCAGTTGCTACCAGAGATTGCCGAAAGCAGAGCTGCCCTTCGCCCCTTCATAGCAGGATTGGGGTCGCTAGCCCAAAGGGTCCATGTACCACGATAGTACGTACTAAGTAGGTATTTGGGGCCCAACAGTATGTTTTATACTATTGCTTGGATTGGACCCTTTGGGTAGTAGAATCGCTATGGTGCACTTGTACCGCGAGGGAGGGATTTAGAGATGTAGGTATATCACTGCCCTCGTATTCCGGTGGTACTTCAAGCTGGATACACGTGAGGGAGCACCCTGTGCTTTGGGCCATCTCTCAGCTGAGCCCTTGCAGACTCAGTCTGATGGATCCTTGGTCTGCCTTTTCTAGGATGCCCCGTAACCTCGAAAAAAAAGGGCTCCCTTTCTGGTAGTGGGTAACTTTCTGAGCAGTCCAAGACCACAAAAAAGGGAATAAGGGTACTACTGGGCATCCTACGGCTGATGATATCAATCCAGATTACCTTAAGGACCCAAACTATGGGAATTATGGTGTATCCCTTATTATGGGTCATGCAGGATTTATATCATCAACCCTAAACCCTAAACCCCCTATAGATCCCTTAAAGGAGCCCCTTAAAGGTACCCTTGTAGATCCCTTTAAAGGGACCCCAGGATTTATATCATCAACAGTAGTTTTGCTGGGGTTGTCGGGCTTCGGTTCAGGGGTTTAGGGTTTGAGTCCTACTGCTGATGGACAAAATCCTGTAAATCCCTAGGGCTCCTTTAAAGGGATCTATAGGGGTACCTTTAAGGCTTCCTTTAAGGGATCTATAGGGTTTAGGGTTATGATATAGAAATCCTGCATGACCCTATGGACTCTAAACTATGGGAACTATGGTATATTCCTTCTGATGGGTAATGCAGGATTTTGTCCATCAACAGTAGGATGAGGTCTAGGGGGCGAAACGTTCTACAGTAGTAATGTAGGATCCTGATTAAGAAACCCTGGGCCTATAACCCCTCAATACGAGGATTCATAGAAAGAACCCTAATGAAGGCCCAAGGCTTCTTGATCAGGTTCCTACATTAGCCCCAAAACCCTAAACCCCTGCATATAGATGCCCCATGCTCGCTTTCAGCATGGGGTTTTATAAAAACCCTCTATGCAAGACGATGCTTGCTTTCAGCATACAGTATCAACGCTTGCTGTGCGTATCGCTGCAGCATTTTCTTGAGCACTTGACTCGAAAAAGCCCTTTCCGGGGCGAAACGCGTCGTTTGTGGTGCTCGCCGAAAAGGCTGCTAACCGCTGCTAGGCTAGAGAATGCCCTGACCTAGACATCACTTGTAGTCTCCATTATAGTTCCTTTTTCTGGTTAACCAAAAACTCCATTATAGGATCCTAATCATACAATGGGTTAACCAAAAAAAGGAACTACAATGGAGACTATAGGTAGGCCTTTCAAGCTCTGGAGTGATTAAAACTTGTCCCCACGGCCTCGGCAGCTCGCCGGGATTCGATGGCGGCCTGCAGCACAGGCTTCATTTGGTTAGCGGAAGGGGCCTTATAAAGGGGTCCATAAGGGTTACTATAAGGGATCTATAAGAGTACTATAATTTTTGGGCCATAATAATCTTATAGCTTATCTTTGGTTAGTAGGGAATGGAGGAATGGGGTACAATTATAACTACTACTACTACTACTACTACTACTACTACTACTACTACTACTACTACTACTACTATACTACTACTACTACTACTACTACTACTACTACTACTACTACTACTACTACTACTACTACTACTACTCCTACTACTACTACTACTACCACCACTACCATTCCCTACTAACCAAAGGTAAGGCTTGGGGTCAGTGCCGGGCCGAACAAGCCGTACCCGAGGGCGTGCCCTTGTGACTCTGACTATCGTGCTTTGTTCCGTTCTTCTGATGGGAGATATGCCAGGTTGAAAACACTAAACATATTGGGGAAAAATATTTTTCCCCAATATGTTTAGTGGTTACGAAATTGTGGGTAGGCTCGTTCTGGATAGATGGTATACTTTCGGGGCTGGCGTAGATCGATTCACGTTATCCGCGACCGCTAAGACAGTTGACCTGGTCAGCGGACTCGGCGTTTGTGGGGGCAGCGGCAAAACCCGAAACATCCCTAAACCCAAGACCCAAAACACTCCCATTCAACGTATTAAAGCCCCTAATATAGAGCCCCACTCTAGATCCCTCAAGAACCCTTGAAGGATCCCTTTAAACAAACCTTGTCCTGAATCAAGTTGACAGGATGATGGGATTCCGTCTCTTTGGGCTGTGGCATCCTGATGAGCTCCACCAAGTACCCTAATTAACAGAGTCCGCGGGATTACTGCCTCAGCAATGAAGTGGCCGCAGCGTTGATGATGTCGCGACAACAGTGGGGCAGACTTGGAACTACGTTCTATTGGGTAGGGCGAGAGTATCGAGGAAGGGTGGGCAACTTGTCGCGAACATCTTGGATGAGATTCGTGACTGTATTCTGTAGAATTTGAATGATCTGAGACTGTTGGGCCATGGACTCATGAATTTCAGTCAGTTCTTGTTCCTGCTCTCGAACTTGTCGTTGTAAGCTATCCAATAGTTGTTGCTGGATCTGTCGAACAGAGGCTTCTTCGACTCGTTGTTGCATCAAGTCGGAACGAGCGGCGATGAGCTCGACCTGCGTGTATCTGATCCATCTTTCCAGTGATGCGAGCGGCTGAGCCGTGGAGTCCATGCTTCGGGATATCTGTCAGTCGTGACGGGCACGCTGAGTTTTCGCAAGACGGCGTCCACCCAGAGGCACTGCGGAGACTAGCAGAACCACAGAAATCCAGATCTCTTTAGGAGGGTCCGGAATCTCTTAGGGACAGCCCCTGGGTCTCTTTGGGTCTCAGAAATCCTACACTTGGAGGTTCCCTAAAGTGTTGGGACCCTTGAAACAACAAAGCGTAGTCAAAAGGGGTCGAACGAAGCCCCAGTCCCTACGCCTGAAGACACGACGATTCCAGCTGCACTTACTGGCCGAAACCGAACGAGCAGGGACCCGAAAGACCTATTCAACTCAGCGATGCCCGAAAATGATCAAATCCAATGACGTACATCTCAAACTGTTGCTATCCTAAACACCAAACCCTTCACCTTGAACATTCAGACGGAAACTATTGTAATTCTCAAACCGCTGATTACTTTCCACTCCCAACTCCACGGCCCAAAGCCCTAAACAGTTCGATGCAAAGGCTGTTGCTAGCCAGAACTCTGAAATTGGGCATCAGGTGCCCGGTGTAATTTTGAATGGTGATTTGTAGAAGCCTTCATGTTTGAAATGGGGTTCGGGGTATATTATAATGTCTACAATAATGAACATTGGAGAAAAATGTCGATTCTTGTTTAGGCTGCCAGAGTGGCGATGAGCAAATTTTTTTCAAGATAACTGCCCCAACCCATAAGCCTTAAACCCCAAACCCCTGATCCCTGAGACTGCGAAGGCAATGCCTCGGCAGTACGCCGCGCTTCCTGGTGGAGGTTGTCTTTTGCAGGCATGAAGCGGTTTTAGGGTTGAGGGCTTCGGGCTCAAACTTCAGGATTAGGGTTGGGGTTTTTACAGGGCACTCATGTGGTTTATGACTGCTTTACAGCCTGCCCCTGGCAGAGATTGTCTTTTGAGGTTTGGTTGGCAGTGAGTTGGAGAACTGATTTCTTTAGGTGAAGCAAAGTTGTGTTTTAGGTCCGATCTAGAGGAAGAGGGTGTTTAAGAAATAGGGTTAACAAAAAGGTGCTTTTACAAACCGTCTGAAACCAGGTCGTTCTGCCCACAGGTGGCGAACCCTGCGAGTTTTGCCAGCCTGACATCCTGCATCGTGCAAGACCAACAAGCTGGCGAGCAACACTGGCCATACTAGCCCTGAAGCGTGCAGCAGTACTGACAAAACTCAAGAGCCCTTAGTTAAGGAACGCGCCCGAGAGCCCATTAGGCTCCTGGACAAGACTCCATTCTTGAGCTAGGAGAAACTGACAAAAAAAACGCTAGAACCTTGGAACCTGGACCGCAACCTACCCTCCAACAGCCTGTACCTACAACTCAGCACCAGAAGGGCTTTACAAATAGAAACTTGGGCGGTCCTCGAATTCCACCTGGACCCAAGCTGCGAAACCCTAAGCCCCTGAAGCTAGCCTATGGTCCTGCATGTAGTTCCTCATATTTCTGGCTGAACAACTTTGATGGCTGGGTTGCTGACATGCAAAATTGGCTGACCAAAAACAAGAACGGCAATGGAGACTGTCGCTAGGCCAGGAAAACCTAACCCCTGAATCAAGGCCTACTTGTCGGGTATCATGGGGAACTAAAGGTTAACCTTTTTGGGTATATAGGGATTATATAGGGACTATACTACCCAAAAAAGGTTAAAGGTTGCCTACTCCACAACTGGGGCGAGGCTTCCTTGGGTGGCACAGGGTCCTCGGCAGTTGCCTGCGCCTGGGACAGCGAGGCAGCCATCGAGGCAGCTCCGGATGCCTTCTCCTTCCAGCGGGCTGCGAGACGCTTTTATCCGGCGTTATCTGAGTTGTCCTTTAAGCCCTTTGAAATTTGTTTATTATTATGCTTCTCTACAAGATAGTAGGGGAAATTAAAACAGATCCCAAAGAAAGAACAACCCAGTTATGGGCTGGACTGTCCTCTCGCCTGGGCCATGGGTATAGCGAAAAGGGGGTGGGGTCGGCTTCGCCTTGGGGGTCGCATCTGGGCCCCTACCTGTAGTTTCCATTGTAGTTCCTTTTTCTGGTTAACCAAAAGCTCTATTATAGGATCCTAACCATAAAAATGGCTAACAAAAACAAGGAACTACAATGGAGACTATAGGTAGGATCAAATGCCCATGTTTGCATCCCCTGTTGTCTGCAACTCCCACACTTGCCAAGGTTAAAGCGAGATTCTTCCAGGTTGGCACCGGTTTGAAGGTATGCTACCGGACAATAACGAACGAATTCTTCATAGGGGTGTTTGACCAACTACATTTGTGCATCTGTACGTTTAAAGGTATCCGTGTATGTATGTATGCATGTATGTATGCATGCATGTCGGTAGGTAGGTAGGCAGGTAGGTAGCTGTGTTTGTGTGCGTATGTCACACACACATATGTATATGTATGTATATATATATATATATATATATTCATATATACACATAGTTATACACATGACATATACACATACATAAAAAAAAAACAGATATGCATTTAAGTGAGTGTAGCAAGTGTAAATACAGACTCGACAACTTCAACGCTCTGCTAGCTATCTTACCTAAGCAAATCTAATTTAGAAGGCGACGGAGCCAGTAGGTCATGAATACAGCCATGAGAGGACCGATTTGTGGTGATCCAGCTTGTAACTCAAACTACACTCTTGAAAGTAAACCGATGATCCCGGAAGTCGGGACATGGAAGGAAGTGGCATGGGTAAATGGGAGCCAGCCTACGGGTCCAAGTACCCAAATAGTAAGGTTTTCAAGATCCCAAAACCATTCAGAGTATGGATTTTGGGACCTGAAACCCTACTATTTGGGTACTTGGACCCTCTGGGCAAGCATTGTATGTCAACCCTTTCCATCTTCGGTCCTCACACCTGAAAACGCCCAACGGATTGAGCATTTTGGGTTTCGAACCAATGGTTCAAGTGATGGACACCCGAGCCCGAAACCGACATACTCTAACCGATGCCTTCAGGCCCCATTGCAAAACAGTAAACAGTGAACCCAAAAATCTTGGACGTTAAGCATTCTATGTAAACATGTTACATCCTGCAATGTCGCTGGGTAATAAGCAGCCTTGCTGACTAGTCAAACCCTAAGCCCGAAACTCCAAGACCATAAACCCGCCTCGGCATCCGCAAGTGCCACCTGAGTCAAGTGAGTTTTTGCGCAACAAAACGTGTGGATATTCTAGTGTCTGCCCGAGTCCGTCTTTTCAGAAGTGTAGAGCCGGACCATATGACACCGAGGAGTGGCTTAAACTTTGCTTCCAGTGCTTAGGACTCATGGATAAAGGTGTTTCGCTTGAGTTCTGGCCATGCAGTGCCCGTGTAAGTTTGAGGGCTTACCTCCGTGCTCAAAGTGTTGCAATATTGAGGGCACTACATGATTAGACTAGGGTTTGGGGGGGTATATTATACTATAATCATAAGAAGGAACGCCCCACACTGGTATGTAATTATTTAGGCTTCTACATTTCCGCCCTCTTTACCTGGATGATCGAACTGGACTCAACATGTGGCTACAGGACTTGTGGCACAGACGCTCGCATAAACACATCAGCCCATACTACATACATCTGCATAAAATGTGAGAATAAAACCACCAAAGAACCATGAAACCTTGCCACTGCCAAGTACTACCTCCACAACAAAGTCTGCACTGCCGGACCCGTCAAGGGAACTACCCGGATCTACGCAGGGAGCACCAAGCCCATAATCCAAAACACTCAAGGCCAAAGACATCCTCCACCCGGGAAGCGCCCAAAATTGTTAGCACTCCACCTGACCTCAAGCAGCAAATTTTAAGGGTTCCCTCTTTGGGAACTATGAGGGTTCAGGGTCCTAAGTACCTATATAGTAGAATGTAAGCTTTTTATATTAGGAATTTTGAATTATGAGTTGGGGAAGTATTCCCCATAACAGTACCCATACAGATCCCTTGAATGACCCCTATAGATCCCTTTAAAGGAACTCCTTGAAGTATTCCCCATAACAGATACCTAGGACCCTTTGGGATCCTAAAGACCCAAGGAAGCTCCAAAAGCACGAACACCTTCATCCCGAACCCGCAACCTGAGTGGCTGTCAAAAGTAGGGTCCCTTTTTGGGGTACCCTAAATTATTAGGTGCCACATTATATCAAGGACCCAAAAAGGCCAAATTTTGACAACCCCCCAACCTGAATCCTAGCGGCCCTCAAATCTCAAAGCACCAGGCCCCAGGGCTTGGGTTTAGACCAAACAGAGCTTAGGACGATTAGGGTTTGCACGGGTGATTGTCAAAACTATGGTCTCTTTTTGGGCACCCTGAATATTAGGTGCCGTACTATATTAGGGACCCGAAAAGGGACCAGAATTTTGACAACCACGTACATGTAGGGTTTGGGGTTTGGGGTGTTCAGGTACAGATGCCACACTAAGATATGCACGGCGCCTTCATCATTTCGAGCTCCTTTGCAGCCGAGGCTGTTGCTGCGTCCACTGCAGCTTTCACCTTCAGAGGCCACTCATGACAGTTTGAGAGGCATCTATAGGTCTTGCCTGTATCCCCAAACCCTGCAAAACAGTAGGTTATGACCCCTTAATTAGAGGGTAGAACCCTTTAAACCGAGGTTTTCGGATCCCAAGGTGGACCCTAAACCCAAAGCACTGACCCCTCTGCGGAGTCGCTTCCACTGCAAATCCCACCGTACACTTGGCTGGGATCGGAGGCTCGAGATCTTGACCCTGAGGTAGCGGTTGATGATATAAATCCTGCAATACCTTAAGGACCCTAAACTATGGAATTATAGTGTATTCCTTATGATGGGTCATGCAGGATTTATATCAGCAACCGTAGCCATAAGGTAGGTTCTCTTTCGAGTGAATTACTTAAGAGCTCCTTAAGTACAGGGCAGCGCAGTACCAATCGCCCCTTCCACATCTAGAATCTTTGCTATACCGACTATACCCTCCTTAGAACCATAATAGAATGTGTCTTTTAATATTCTCTTCGGTTTTATATGCATGAACATATATGAACAAAAATAAAGGAGACTATAGTTTAGAACAGTCCCACTTAGTGTGTTGGACTTCAGAGTTCTCGCGCGAAAGGTGCCCATGTGGGGTACCCGTTCATTAGGGATTTTAGGATGTGGGCTCCAGGATACGACATGTGTCTGCTTGATGCGCTCTTACAGGTTGGGTCCCTGGCATTCACGGAGTGAGCCTGACATGCATATACCGTTCTCATGGTGACCCAGACTACATTTTGGGGTTCAGGGATGTTTAGGGTATCCCCCCTCCCACCTCCGCTTGCCGCTGAGCTCGTGCTTTCTCTTCTGCAGAGCCTGGGCTTGAAAAAAACCGAAACCCACAATCCCCAAACTCTGCTTGAATGCTGGGTAGCACCTCTTTGTTAGACTGTTAGACCAGACCTGACTGTCGGTGCCTTGGGGTTGGCTTGTGGGGCCTGGGCAAAAACTACTCGGAACCTACTTGGAGGGTCGGGGGACTTACTAATAAGTAGCTATTTTGTAGAGTTAAAGGTACCATAACCCCAATTATTAGGGTCCCTTTCAGGGGACTTTTGACTCTACTTCTTACTTACTAAGTCCCCCGACCCTCCAAGTAGGGACCATCGAACTCTTCTCAACGGCTGCATCGACGTATGCTTTGCAGCTGCATGCATGTATGGAGCTGGTTGCAGAAAATGAACGGTGGAAAGATAGATAGACAGGTAGACAGATACATAGGTACGCAGGAATCGGAAAGTATAGGCATACTGAGTAAACGAAAGACACCAAAGAATACACACGGTGCGACTTCCACGTTGTGCGATGACTTCCAATTCATCAACATGTTTCCTTTGGAGGCCGACCGTCAGAGACTCCACGGCCGCGATGGCAATAAAATATTTACTGAACAGCGGCAACTATCAGGACCGCCCCAAAGGGTCCTTAATTGAGTCCTAATGGCCCTAGTGGGTATGTGGGGAAGTTGGGTCTAGGTGGGACCTGAATCCTAAATGCCTAGGTGCCAAAGCCCTAGAAGTTAGCACCGAATTGCAAAGACTGAAAATAGTTTGAACATGTTTCAACTAGATACAATACAAGCCCGAATAGTTAGTAACATTAGCCCGTGTTTCTCTTTACAAGAACCAGAAAACAAGTTTACAATAATACACCTCATGTCCCTATTCCAGTTCTGAAGGCCCCATATCATAGAACCCTGCTAGAACCATTGTGGTAAGCACTGCCCTCAATAGGAACCTTTCTGATTCATAATTATTTGGGAGTTTCCGAAAACTGGGGTACCTTATTTTGGGATCCTTATAATAAAGACCCTACGATTTAGGGTACTATATTAGGGTCCCCTATTTTCGGAAGCTCCCACTTCTCCCTGCACAACCGAGTTGCTCTCATCGCCTCCGGCGACCTGGTCTTTGTTTGGATTTACCCCAAGGGTCCAAAGGACCCAATAATCGGGTACTGACTTCCTTTAAAGGGTTCTAGAAGGTTCCTTTCAAAAGGCTACTATAAGGGTTCCATTATAAGGGCCTTAATAATTGGGTATTCGGTTTTAGGATAGTAGTTATGTAGCTTAGGATTTCGGAGAGCATATGATCATTGGGTACGTGGACCCTTGGGGTTCGTGCATGCATAGGGTGCGGTGTTTGGGGCTATGGGGTGAAGTCTTGGGGTTTATTGGGGGACCTTAGGTTTGGGCTCACCCAGACCCCCTTTGGAGGATCCAAAAAGTAGATCCCTTAA